ATGTATTGAACTTTACAGAAAAATTTTTTTTTTTCATGAAAAAAAATAATTTGTTAATAAAAACGTATCATCTTATAAAATAAGCAACAATTGGAATCGCACTATGATGGTACCGTAAAAAAACTAAGAAAATAACACTTAAATTATTTAGTATACAGAAAACCTGCCGAAAGAAATATTTTATTTGATTTATATAAAATATAACCTAAAAATAATTAAGTAATTTAGATTTTTCCCATTTTCAAACGATTTTATAAATAATTTATATCCGTTTTATTAATTATGACGTATTTTTATAATATTTCTTTATTTTTAATACCATATTTAATTAATTAAACTAGGTAGTTATTAAATTAGGTCCTTTTTACAACTAAAATAAAATAACGTTAACTACAAAATTATTCACTAAATTGACATACCACAATAATAATTATTATTCTTAAATTTTGTTAGTAGAACCTACTACCAGGTAGTTGATAAATTATATAAATATAAATATATATATAATATATATTATATATTATATATTATATATTATATATTATATATTATATATATATATTTATATATATATATATATATATATATATATATATAAATATTATTTACTTAATTCAAAAGCGTCTAAGTACCAGATGGATGAACAAAGCTATATACTCTCTAAAGATTTTCTTATTTCGGGATCAATTTAAACTCAACAATGAAAATAAGTCATTGCGTAGAATTTGTATTTTTATTATTTCGTTTACATATAATATAACATATTTGCCTGGTTCCAAGCTCCAAATGCAACTTGCGCGCCCAAAAATGATTTGAAAACACTTCATGAACTTCATGTTTACAAAAATATAGATTTGCAAATAGAAGAGCGAATTTGTTTGGCATTTTTTGATAAAAGAGTACCTACTGTAACAAAAGAAAAAATGGTTGAAAAAATTAACATTAGAAACAATCATTGCAAAGAAAAAGATGTAGAGCAGTGGATTTTTTTTATTTTAATTATAAAAAGGACATAAATTAATAACTACTTAGTGTAATTAATTAAATATGGTATCAAAAATAAAGAAATTTTATAAAAATAGGTCATAATTAATAAAACGGATATAAATTATTTAGAAAATCGTATGAAAATGGGAAAAATTTGAATAACTTAATTATTATTAGGTTATGTTTTATATAAATCAAATAAAATATTTCTTTCGGCAGGTTTTATGTATGCTAAATAATTTAAGTGTTATTTTCTTAGTTTTTTTACGGTACCATCATAATGCGATTCCAATTGTTGCTTATTTTATAAGGTGATACGTTTTTATTAACAAATTATTTTTTTTTCAGGAAAAATTTTTTTTTTCCGTAAAGTTCAATTCACTGTCTCAGAGGGGATTAAAAAACTAGGTAACCCTTAAATTTTTAATAATATCGAATAAAAACTAACGGAGTTATTTACTATTTTGCGCAGTAATAATTTCGCGGCTCGAATGTGCAAAAATACGAAAATCGATTTGAGCGACCTCTAAATATTCATCGAATTTGGATTTTTTGGTATCAATCTTTTAGTTTTAATGTAATCTTCAGAATTTAGGCCAGTGCGGGTTCATTTTTAAAAAAAGGCTTTTTTTGAATCACCCTAATATATATATATATATATATATATATATATATATATATATATTTATATATATATATATATATATATAAATATATACATCCCGCCTACAATGCTGCGTCAATACATTATGAAATGACGTCATGACAATCCCACACACCGTTTTTAAGGGTGACGCAGCATTGATGGCTTTTTGTAAAATACGTGTATATTGAAGTTTGGCAGTTTGCCGCAAGGGTGCGCTTTTAAATTTGGTGTATATTGAAAAAGTGAATATTTCTTTTAAACTTACGGTAATCCTGCATCAAGTGAAGCTGACAACAATGTACGACGCAGCAACGTCGATACAATGTACTTAATATTATTCGACGCATAAATAACGAAGATCGTTAAACGAACGCAGCAATGCTGCGTCGCATGTGTTAATGTGAATTTTAGTGTTTGGTAGCCAGTTTGTTTTATAAAATTAATATTGCCAAGTTCCTTTTAATAATTATATCTATAACTTTAAGAATAAAAAAGAGTAAAAATAGTAATATTTGTCCCGTTTGTATTAAAGGCCTCCAGCCCAGGGATGGTAAACTGACGTAAAAATTGGGTTTATTACATTTTATACATTGACTATGTAGTAGGTAAATGTAGTATGTAGTAAATCGCAGAACATAGTAAATTATTGTGTAGTAAATGTAGTAGGTAAATTACGTGATTGGTATTTTGGTTGAAATCATGACTGTTAATGAGAATGTAAAATGATTAACACAATAACCTAACTTCTTACTCAAAAAAACGTGGTTTTGTGTTATTCTGTGAGCTGTCTTTTAAGTTTGACCTGTCAAACTTAGAAGTGGGCTGTGGGCTTTTGTAACTTTGCAGGTTGATATAATTTGTTGTTTTTGTCAAAAGAAATGACTAAATACTAATGAACTAATACAATTTTTTTAAATAATATTTTTACTTATGGATATTTGGTTTTCTCTGGGACGGTTCCAACTTTCTTATTTTAAATAAAAATATCCCTTTTATTTGCATTTTTGGATTCCACATACTTTTTGAGTAAATATATTTTTCTAATCATATTAAAGAATTTGTACATTTCCTATACTTTTTCAATTAAGAAAGTGGCTCAGTCTTAAACTGTGGAGAAAATTGAACTCTTTCTCCACGGTATACCGCGGTAGTATAATCCTACTGGGATTTATCATTACTAATAGTATTTATCATTACTAATAGTATTTATCATTACTAATAGTATTTATCATTACTAATCATCATTACTAATCTATATATTTTTTTACCTGCGCGCGGAATTCCGTTTCTACAAAAGTCAGTGTCAATTAATTTTTAAGAAAATTATGAACCACCGTGTAATCGTCATAGTAATTTACTATGACGATTACACGGTGGTTCATAATTTTCTTAAAAATTAATTGACACTGACTTTTGTAGAAACTTTCCGCGCGCAGGTAAAAAAAGATATAGATATAGCATATTTTTCGATATTTTTTTTCCAAAAAATATTCTAAATTAGCTAAAAACTTTCAATCTTTAAAATGCTCTGTAAAATTGTTACGCTACCATACGATAATTGGGACGATATGTGATAACAGCTACAATAATAATAATGATATTATTCAAAGACGAAAGTAAACAGCTGATTACATTTCAGGACGGAAAGTAAACGGCTGTCCTAGGACAAAAATGTGACGTTTTCAAAATATTAAAAAGACACCATCCTTAGTTTTTTACATACAATTTGGCCCTTTAAATTTTAAAAAGGCAAAAAGTTTAAACAAATTTAAATTATAAATATTCGTCACTCCTAAATTGATTAATATTGATAAAAAACTAAAATTGGAAAGTTTAAACCGTTTTGACTTATTCTAAGACGTAGTTAAATAAAGATTTAAAAATCCTTTAAAATAATCCCTTTTTTATTTAAGGTTTTGGTAAAAACGCCTCCTTAGATTAGGAGCACTTTTTTAATTACAATTTAAAAAATGCTTTGGCCCGTGAATATTTTATAAATTGTAATAAATTGTAATTAAAAAAGTGCTCCTAATCTAAGGAGGCGTATAAATATGTATAAATACATATTATATTATAAACAATTTATGTACGATTATACCAACATTAGAGCGGCAAATTTTATTACCCACCCCGACGGAGAAAACGTTAGAAACGGTCCTGCGAATATCTAAGGCTTATTTGGAAATATTAATTAATTTCTTAGCTAAATCTAATAAAATATTTAATAACAAAAATATCAATAAGGAACCTTATTGTCTACAATTATCATAATTGTATTATGTTATTATGCTATCAAAAATTAAAAATGTCAGTGGCATACATTTTGTATGTTAATTTAACATATCAAAAATTAATCCCGTACGCTAGAATTTTTTCTGCACATCCTTTAAAGCTAAAAAAATTTAATTCATCCAGACTACCTTAAACTATTGAATGACAACAAATTATACATAACAAACTTATCATTTTATTTCTAAAGAACTTATATTTTGCCTTTTATTTGTGAGCGTTGATATACGAGTATATGCGCTAAAAACAAGTCACAACGCACAACGAAATTATTGGGTATTATGATTTTAAATATTTATTTTAATAAATTTAATATTCAAATCCTAGTACGAAAGACCATCAATGATGCGTCGACAAGATCTGGCAACATGGGTGACGCAGAAAAGACGGGGGAGTTGAAAAAAATATTCACTTTTGTTGCAGCAATGATGGTTTAACAAATTCGATATACATCGACGCAGAAATGATGGCAAAATAAAAAGAAGCAGCAATGATAGTAACATGAATTTTTAGTTTAAAAAAGCGTTTATAAACATTTAACGTTAAATTCGGTCATTATTTTGTCTAATTAACACTTTTGCAATGTTAAATCACGATATACTGCAGTATTTCTGGTAGACGCTAGTAGAAAAGATGACACTAGAGGTACTTATGGAGCATGCGCAGTAGACTCATTTTGGTCGTATGCTGACGTCACATATGGTCATGCGCAGAAAAAACATGTCCGCGGGAAAAAACTACCTAATTACGCGTAATTAATATTAATTTTTATTTATTATGTAATAAGCCTGTTTATTTATATACTTATTAAATTGCATGTATTTTAAATCAATTTTCCAATTACCTATATACAGGGTGTACCAGAAAATAAATAAAAAAGTTATATTTAAAATGTAGCTAGGTATTTTATTTAGTATTTTAATTATTGTTATATTTACCTATATACAGGGTGTGCCAGAAAATGTTTAGGCATTTAAGAAGACTGAAATAAAAAGTTATTTTTAAAATGGAGGGTAGGTATTTTATTTAAAGGATATTTAATAAAAACAAATAGGTACATATTCATATTTTTTATTATTTAATTATAATATCTATTAAAACATGCCTTAAGCTTAGAACCGATACTGGTATAAACAAAATAATTAAATTTATTTACTAATTCTAAATACACTAGATGATTATTATATTTGGGTGGAGTTTCTATAAAGTTCGTAAACATTTTTGTATCGTAATAATTATCAACATTATTATTATGTATAACTTCTACGAGATCCTCTAAAATTGAATTAAATGTATCGCTCAGACGTAGATCTGTATATTTTTCAGCCAAATGTATGTGGAACGATCTTAGCCTGAGTAAATTCTCCAAAGTTAATTTTTGGAAAATGTCATATTTTCCTGATTCTTTGTTCGTAAACTTCACAAGCGTTTTATTGAACGGTAGAATTGTAATAAAATAATTTGAGATATCATATTCTTCTCTATTGTTCTTGCCATTCAAAATATCTGGTATAATATGCATAAGCTCATTAAACTCAGTCTCTGTAAAAATAAATGCTTCATGTTCTTTATTCAACTTACATAACTTTACTGTGATTGCAAAATTACTGTAAGGGTTTACTCCGATGATGTAAAATCGACTACTGGATACGGTCAGCGGCATCCTTACTTCTTGAAGGAGGTTTCTCTGTTCGTAATCTTTCACTTGCAATGTAAGCTCGGGTATTGTAGAGGTGCTGTATTCACACATCTTTGTTTTAAGTATAATTCTTATAGTACACTGATTATTCTGAAATAAATAAAAATAAAGTTACATATAAAATAAAAAGTTACATACGTATGGTAAAATGTACCAAAATAATTTAAAACTATTTTAAAATGTACTCACTTAAAACAACTGTGGAGCCTCGCTTCTAGTTGAATATGTTGGTGTTTCAAATTTTAAAACACGACTACTTTTATTTATATGGGAATTTCTCTTATAGTTCAAAAGGGTAGACATGTACAAACCTGTTAAAAACACCTGTGTGTGTGTGTTTGCCCAAAGGATATACTAAGTTTACGGCATGTGTAAATACTAACATTCCAAACAAAAAAAACCCTTGGGACCACCCCAAGCTAATTTTAAATAGAGTAATCTAATATGGCATAATTAAATTTTATGGCTATTTTCAAATTTTAAAACGCGATTATTTTATTATAAAAGGGGTTTATATTTCAAAAATATTTAACATGTATAGACTTGTTAAAATAGATGCATCTGCTAATATCTACATTCCCACGAAAACCTTAGAACCACCCCAAAGCTGCTTTTAAATGGCGTAATATAATCTCGTCTAATTAAATTTTAATGGCTATTTTCAAATTGTAAAAACCCGACTGCTTTATTATAAATTAGATAATTAGTATATGACATCTGTTAATATATACTTTTCCCACAAAAATCTTAAAACCATCCTAGATAGTTTTAAAAATAGAAAAATCTAAGCTAATTAAAATTTAGGGCTAAAACGAAAACGCCTCTTAAATAATAAGATCGCCCATATTATGTAACTTTTCAAACACGCCCTTGACGTTTGTAATCTGATATATGCCCAATTAAAATTTTATGGCTAAAACGAAAACTTATGGAATGCGTCTATAGGTCTTTGTCTAAATCATGTTTTTAAAACTACACGTTAGTATTGCTGAAATTTTATTATACCCCCACTATATTAGTGTGAGATTCCCTAAAGTGTAGACAATTCAGTTTTATTTGTGTTCTGAAGCTTGAACGGTGCTGTATACCAAAATTAATACCTAGTTTATCAAATTTTAAAAAAAAGTGTAAGTAACAATGGGTTCTCAAGAATATAAAAATATTATTTTGGAAGAGGAGTACGACCGTGTAATTCCACGATTTAATATTACGGCTCGTAGGATGGTGTTCTCCTTTAGAACTTACACTGGAAGTCAGACTCCAATCGAGTTTATAGAGGTAAATATTCTTTTTAAATATATGTTTAATTATTTATGTTGTTATTTTATAGTTTTAAATTAACACTTATACAGTGGGTTCAATTTAAATAAACACTCAGTCAATATTTTTTTAAATTCCTGTTTTTTATAATAATAATAATAATATATTTTTATTTTTAGGACGGTTTAAACTCGCTACTAGATAGAGGCATGAGGGACTTCAACGATGACGATAGAGTTGGAATTGTGTTTACCAACGCAGAGTTTCCAGATCGTCCATTGGCAATTAGTATAAGAAAAAGGAGCCAAATAACTGCCTCAGTTATTTTGGATACTCTCGGCAGGGTCCTACAAAGCAACGCTAGTTTTTTCACAAATAACCGACTAACTCTAGCAATCGATCGGGTTCTGTTACCGGTGGGACGTGGAAGGACTGCTCTGAAGGGCGACACGTACGAACAATTCTGCAAAAATAAGAGAGGTATCGTAGTTGTTAATAATAAGGACAATCATTGTCTAGCCTATGCTTTAGCCTTGGGTATAGCCTATCATAAAGACAAAGCCGATTTTAAAAAACTTAAATTAAAACCTATTCTTTTAAAAGTACGCGGTAGAGAGTTATGTAGGGCTTTTGACGTGAATCTCTCAAATGGAGGGAGTCTTGAACATGTTAAACGTTTTCAAGATAATTTAGAAGATTTTACGATTGTTGTGTACAATAACAGAGGGGGGTCTGAAACATATTTTGAAGGGCCTAGAAATGAAACGCGAAAAACAATAAATTTAATTTTAGAAAACAATCATTATAATTTAATACTAAGTTTAACAGCAGCATTCTCTTCTGCATACTTCTGCGATTTATGTAAAAAACGGTTTAGTAATAAAGAAAAACATGTTAAATGTCCCTATACGTGCCCTAACTGTCATAGTACGCCTCCATGTACGTCCGAGGTAGAGGAGATAACCTGTGAAGATTGCCATAGGACATTTAAAGGTATCGCGTGTTTAAATACACATAAGGACAAACTTTGTTCAAAATTACATAGATGTTTGACCTGTTTAAATAGTTACTGGACTAAGGATAACCATAAATGCGGATACAAATACTGTCCTACGTGTTTATGTGTGAAACCTGTTCGTCATAATTGTTATATGCAACCAAATCGCATAAGTGATAAAGTTAAAAAATCGCTCGAGACCGATTTTTTGTTTGTCTTTTATGATTTTGAATGTATGCAGGAAAAAGAATTATCCAGTAATATATTTTTACATGAACCAAACTTATGTGTAGTACAGCAAGTTTGTTCTAATTGTATAACGGTTGATAACATCGATTTAGATTGCAATAAGTGTGGCAAACGAAAACATATTTTTTCAGAAGATCCTGTCGGGTCACTTTTAAATTTTCTACACGAATTCGAAAAGAAAAAGTTTAATGTTTTTGCTCTGGCACACAATTTGAAGTCTTACGACGGATGTTTTATAACAAAACATGTTTTTAAAGATGTAAACAGGTGGAACCCTACCATTATTAGAAATGGGTGTAAATTTGTTTCTATAACTTGCAATAAAATTAAATTTATTGATAGCTTAAATTATATGCCACTGCCTCTAAATAAACTTCCAAATGCATTTAAATTTGACGAAGTGAAGGGATATTTCCCGCATTTATTTAATAGACGCGAAAATAGTGATTATGTAGGTTCTTTACCTGATCCCTCTTTTTATATGCCCGATTCAATGACATTAGACGCTCGAAATAAATTTTTCGAATGGTATAATAAGCAAATATCGAATAAGGTTGTATTTAATTTTAAAAATGAATTAATTAAATACTGCATCTTAGATGTGGATATTTTACGGAAGTCGTGCATTAAATTTCGCGAGTGTTTTATTAAAGTTACAAATATTGATCCTTTCCAAGAGGCCACAACAATAGCTAGTGTATGCAATAAAGTATTTAGGCGCAATTTTCTGCAACCTGAAACCATAGGAATTATTCCTCCTAAGGGTTACAGAATGACAGACAATTGCTCTGAAATTGCTCTTAAGTGGTTATGTTGGAAAGAATCTTTATTTCCCGATATTATTCATGCCGGTAACGGTCAAGAGATTAGACTTAAAGAAAATCTCACAGTTGATGGTTTTTGTGCGACAACAAATACAGTTTTCGAATTTGATGGCTGCTACTTTCATGGATGTGAAAAATGCTATCCGCATCAAACAACATCTTTTCAAAACACGACAGATAAAAACGATTCAATGTTTACAAGACGCGATAAAACTATAGCGAAACATCAAAGAATTAGAAATGCCGGGTATAATTTTGTAACGATTAGAGAGTGTGATTTTAAAGAGATGTTGAGAAATGATGCGGAATTAAGAGATGCTGTTAATAATAATTTTAAATATTCACATTTGCCATTGAATCCGAGAGACAGTTTTTTTGGTGGTCGTACGAATGCTATAAAATTGTACCATAAAATATCAAACGACGATGAGAGCATTCTTTACTTCGATATATGCAGTTTATACCCCTTTATAAATAAATATAAAAAATATCCCATTGGTCATCCTAAAATTCATATCGGCAATGAAGCGTGCAGGAAATTACCTCTGGATACGGTAGAAGGTCTTATTAAATGTACTGTGTTGCCACCTAGACATTTGTATCATCCTGTTCTACCGTATAAATGTAACGGTAAATTAATGTTTCCCTTATGTAAAGCTTGTGTAGAATCATTGAACCAGGAACAATGTTTGCATACAGAAGAGGAACGTCAATTTACAGGTACATTCGTTGTCGATGAATTAAGGAAAGCGATTTCTTTAAATTATAAAATCTTGGAAATTTATGAGGTATGGGAGTATAAAGTTAAGCAATTCGATAAAGATACTAAGTCGGGAGGCCTATTTTCAAAATATGTTGATACGTTTTTGAAAATAAAGCAGGAATGCAGCGACTGGCCTAAATGGTGCAAAACAGATGAGGATAAAATCTCATATATTGTATCCTATTTAGAACGTGAAGGCATTAAATTAGATGAGTCCGAAATATGTCATAACGCGGGTTTGAGATTTATTGCCAAATTAATGCTAAATAGTTTCTGGGGTAAGTTCGGTCAGAGAGCAAATTTGATGCAAACCGCAGTAATCACTAAACCCTTTGAGCTATTTACCATGTTAACTGACCCTTCTGTTATTGTTAACAATATGGTGATTGTTAGTGAGGAAATGCTTCTTATATGTTGGACTAAACATGAAGACGCTATTTTACCATTAAACACCGTTAATGTTGCTATAGCAGCGTATACCACGGCTATGGCGCGATTGGAGCTTTACTCATATTTAGAAAAACTTGGTAAACGAGTACTTTACTTTGACACAGATAGTGTTATATTTACGTATAAAAAGGGTGAATGGAAACCCGAGGTAGGTGACTATTTAGGTATGTTAACAGATGAAGTAGCTGAATACGGTCCTGGCAGTAAAATTACGGAGTTTGTTAGCGGAGGGCCTAAAAATTACGCCTACAAAGTTTATATTGCGAGTACAAAAGAATATAAGACTATTTGCAAAGTAAAGGGTATAACTCTTAATGCATTAAATAGTGAATCCGTTAACTTTGAACAATTAAAAGCCATGGTATGCGATAATGCGGAACCAATATATGTCCACAATAATCGTAAAATCTGTATTACGGCCGACTATGATGTTATATCGCGACCCGAATCAAAGATATATAGGATTGGATATACAAAACGGCGAAGGATAGAGAACAACTACGATACCTTACCGTACGGGTTCCTAGAGGTTGTCAATGAAGAGAGTGAGGTAAAAATAATAATTAAAGAGTATTTTTATTTTAGTTCTTAGAATCTATGACATAAATAATATAATATTTATTTTTTCTTCCTTAGTTGAACATGAATGATCCTTCAAAAGATGAGAGCGAATACAGAGAAATGGATGAAAAAATTCCATTTTATATGGATGGGTGGACATTATAAAATATTATTTATTATTTATACTATAATTCCTCATTTATTTATATTTTAATTTATTATATTGTTTACTTACATATGTTATTTATACTTATTCTAGAAATTATCAATTTTTTATTATATTTATCATTTATTTATATTTTAATTTATTATATTTATTATATTAATTATACACTGGATATATTGTATACTTATCTAAGTTAGTAGAATGTATCACTTATTTATATTTTAATTTATTTTATATTAAGTATTTATTATTTTATTATATTATTATAGAATATATCATTTATTTATATTTTAATTTATTTTATATTATTATATATATTATTAACATACCTTTTTTTATTTATGTTTTAGAAAAAATAATAAAAAAAATATTTAAGATTTTTGTTTTTTATTTAATTTACGAAACATTTTTCTTACAGCTAAGTCATTGTTATATGTGTTGGATGAAAACATTTCCAAAAAATTATTTAGAGTATATTTCTTACTTAAACACACTAAACATACAATACAATATTGACCGCAAACAGTAGAAAACAAGCTTTGGATTACATTTGGGTTGTAGATCCACTTTTTCGAGTTTTTATTTAAAAACTTTTTTATAGCATATTTAGGAGGTCTTCCATAGCTGTCAAAATAGCACCCAGCACCTTTATTATCAATAAAAACAGCACACCAATGACTTCCAGGCATATAATCAGGATCTTCATTAATTACTATAGCCAATGGCTTACTTATATACCGAGGTATTTGATTTATAGGGTAAACGCCTGTATGAACATGTATCGGTAAAAATCTACGTAAATATTTGATAACTTCAGATGAATACATTCCACAATTTTAACGTTTGTGCATTGAACGATCATACAGTTATGATTAAAATATTTTAGGTACAGGTGCTTTTAAAGAAAATAAAAAAAAAAATTAAGTAGCATTTATTTCAACTTTTTATAATATAAGGCTAATTAATACATATGATATATCTAACTACTGTAATCAACCACTACATTTCTATTCTTATCTATTTCAATAATATTATCGAATTCAGCATAAATAATACAATTAACTGTCTCTGTAAGTGCCTTTTTAAAACGTACTTCCATGCGTAGACTGCCGTTTCGAATAAGATTCCAATGAGTCATTGTGTTTGCCGAAAGGTCAGGGGTTAAATCATAGGCAGTTAAGTAAAAACCGTGGGGAAAGGCGAGTCTATCTATTGATAAGCCGTTGTTTGAATAGTGGATACCAGTGCCAGAAAATAAAGTATTATATGACCTTATATAATTATTATTTTCAAAATCGGGTTGGAGCGGTTTAGAAGGAATTTGCTGACCATCAATATACAGTGATAAAAAGTTTATATCGTAGTGTTTAAAATTAAACGGATTTTTCGTATAATCACCGTTGAATGCTCTATTTGACACAAAACCCATAATACACCTTTTTGGTAATTGGCCCATAAATATATTATCCAGTGATTTTCCTTGAATGCCTGAGGGTATAGTTAAAACTTTAACGTCAACCCTTGTTATAGGGTATTTAACAGGTGCTAGTTGTAAGGCTTTAGCATGTGCCAGCAATACAGACGGATTAATTTTCATTCTTCTTACTAAAAGGGTTGCATCTATGATTTTTAGTTTTGGTTCATCATTTTCAGGAGCCATTAAAACAAAATTATCTCTTGATCTAACTAATTTAACGCGTAATTCTAGACCATTCATTAAAAACTTTTCCTGATTAAATAGGTCACCACTAAGACGTCCAATTAAATCTACGGTTTTTCCAGATGCTGTAAACTGGCACCTTTTTGTATGTCCTATATTACTCGCATTTATTTCATCCATTGATTTAGCTGTATCTAAATACCATAGACTTGAAGTGAGATGAGAATCTGCTGCCTCAGGACCGTAATTAAGTAATGTTTCTATATATGATCTATAAGCATATGTGTTGTTCGGTGGAGAAATTAATTTTTGATTTAAATAAACATCAACTTGACTAAACATTGAATGCAAGAGATTATTTACAGGACCTATCGTTTTTTCACCCTCTGTGGCGTTTGTGTAATTTGAATTATCTTGTCTACATATTTTAGCTTCTATATGCAATAGAGTATGGGATAAATCCAAATATTCATCACCTATACCGGGTATAAGAAACTCCAGGGGTGCTTGATCTGTTAAGGAAGAGAGAGGTTTGTAATGAATCCATTGTCCCGTCTCTACACTAGTCTGCGTTGAAGGTATGGCAAATAAGTCCAGTTCACTTTTAATACACTCACAGGATTGATTATGGATGAAAGACATTGTTTATAATTTCTATTTAACCAAAAATATCTTCAAGTTTTCGTTTTTTAGTCTTGCGCTTGCTCTTACTTGCAGTAACTAATACTTTATGATTTCTTTTAATAGCTTTCTTTCTTTTTATACGTTTCCCCGACCCCACCATTTCGTCGACTTTTTTCATGGCTTTAGTTTGTAAATTTTTTGTACCTTCATTAAACCGTTCTTTAAAAGCAGCTTTCGGTGGTTTACTCTGTATAATATCCTTAAGAAAATTAACACCTGTATAAGCGGCCTCTGTTCCTATTGTTTTTATTCCACTTTTAACTAGAGGAAATATAGTTCTATATAAGCCTTTTAAAAAACTACCTATGCCCCTTCCTTTTTGGTAATAGGCACCTTTATACACGGCTCCAACACCCGATCCCGCTTGATTCACATAATAATCGCTATACAAACACTTTACAGTCATTTTATTCTTTTAAAGTGTAGTTTAACACTGACAGTCCCAAATAAGAATGGCACTAATTCACCTGTTTCAGTCCTTATATCAATTTCTATATTCTCAAATTCACGTTTTAAAACAGGAACATAGTGCGTCGGTGAAAATACTTTCATTTTATGACTCCCATAAACATATTTTGAATTATCCACGCTTACGTTACGAATTAATTTAGCCATAGTGTCTCCTACAATCTGAGGACTTATAATATCACAATAAATAAAAAATTGCGAAGGTAGCCCCAAAATTATGTTGGAAGGATGCGGTGCATGACGGTTGTCTAACATGTTTTGATCCGGTTCAAAGCCTAATTGTAAAGCCATGTAAGTTGAAAAAGTCATAGATATTACATTGCTGTCCTCAGGAATATTTACATATACTTTATGAGTTGTTTGATCCATCTCAAAAGTTATTTGTCTTCCTATTATTTGAGTATTAGAATTTAATACTGCAGGTAGGTCATCTATGTTATCGTAACTACCTGTATTTATTCTTACTTTGTCATATACATATGTATTTGTTTTTGCATTCTTTAGTTCTTTAAAATATACAATATTTTGGGTTTTTCTCACCGTGAGAAGAGAACATGGATATTGAAACTCTGTTAGACCAACTTGCCATTCTCCCTCAAGATGAATAGAATTTGGAAGTTGAGTATTAAACTGTGTTGTTTTATTGTTTGGAAAATATTCTATAGAACTATTACTAAGTAGAGTCAAAAAAAATTCGTTTGGCATTTTTAGATTGAAGTAATATTTTCTTGAGGTAGCCAACAATTGAATTTTTTTGGATATCCTTTCCAGGTCACGAACACTTCACGTATGCCACGTTTTATTCGCTTGCCTAATATTTTATCTATTTTAAAGGCTGAATCTTCTGAATATGTCACCTTCTGCAATTCTGATTCGTAAAAAATTCCTTTTACAGCTTCATTTTGTAAATCACATAGTTTATAAACAGTGTGTGGATGTCTTTTTATAATTTTTACAATTTTAAATATTTCCAAAGTCCAATTAGATTCGTAACCTTTTTCGAAAATATGTTTATACTTGGAAATTCTAACGAAATCATTTAGTTTATATTTATTTTTAGCTACGTTTTTAAGTGTTATACGAAAAGCATTATTGTATACTTCTAATATATTATTTTCGTTGACTTCACTTGGGGCCATTTTAATCGTACTATGTTTTGTTTTGTTATAAGTATCTACTAAAGTATCTATCACATTAATGTATTCATAGCTATTCTTATATGTAAAATATTTAAACATTTTTTCTTTAAGTGTCCTATTAAATCTTTCTATAACACTAGCTTTTATATCAGGATTTTCAGCTTGTATATGATTTATACCATACTTTTTAAAACACCTTTTTGTATCGGGGCCTAAAAATTCACCACCTTTATCTGATTGCAAATTAAGAGGAATTCTATTGGAGCTTTTAAATATATCTTCAAATGCGCTTGCAACATCCTTTGAACTTTTTGTTTTTAATTTTCTAACCCATGCATATTTACTAAATACATCAATAACTGTTAGTAAATATTTTATATTATTGTTAAATTTACTTAGGCTTTTTAAATCAATTAAGTCTGACTCAAATAAATCATCAATATTTGTTACATGATATTTATTTCGTTTAAATTTTTTAACAACAGGTTTATGTAAAGTATATGTATCCTGGCTTTGTAGCCATTTTTTAATTTCACTAACACTAATGTCTGGTTTTGCTTTTTTTATTTTCTTTATAGATGAGAAACCGGCTATGTGTGCAGGGTTGTAATATATGTTATTCATCGTCTACCACTTTTCCCAATCTAACTTGGTCCCTAATGACTTTGTTTTTCTTTTTTTTTGGTTAGATGATTGTTCTTGTTTCAATTTTAATGATTTACTAGATTTTTTCTTCTGCTTAGTTGAACTTATAGTCCCCTCGGTTTCCTCTGTCGAAGATTCACGACTAGACTTTGTTGGTGTGGTATAGTTTATAAAATTATCCAGATATGCTTTACTTTGAATAAATTCCATAGGAGTATTTATTTGTTTTAAACTATGTACTATTAGGTCTTGATTTTTTTTATCCTTAGGTTGACGGTTACGTAATATATCATTAACAATATCAATAATATTTGAGTCTTTTATTAGCTGATTGTCTACTCGCACCACTCCTTGTTCATCCCATTGAATATAATCGTTTTTAGTAATATACTCTAAAAGCTTCGATGATTTATTTTTCAGATTTTTAGGAACAGTCTCCAAAATCTGTTCAACCGTTAAAACATCTTTTTTAACAGGACTTATTGCATTGGGTTCTTCAACCGCTTCTTGTTCTAATAGTGGTACTTTAACCGCTTCTCTAGCATTATTGGAAAAATGTAAAAAGCGTTGTAAAACTTGTTGATACTTTGACCACTTCTCATAATCTTTTATTTTTGAGCTTAAAACTTCTTTCATTTCCATATCTAATTGTGAAAACGTTTGAGGGGTAATTATATCCGTTGAATTCTGCAATTTTTGAAAGGATTCCGGATTTATTAAAAACATCTTCTTTGCATGCTCCATTTTTAATTAAGTAAACTACTTAGTACACCACTTATTAAAGGTATAAGTATTAATGGTAAGAGTGCACCACCGTTTTGTAATATAATTTTTTTCTTTTTTTGAAGAACTTCACTTTTTTCTGCAATTTTTCTTAAAGTCTTTTTATATGGTTTAAGTTTTTGTTTTTGTGTTGAAGTAAGAGGGACTTTTCCTTTTAGTGTATTATGGATACACTCGCACAGACAAAGTATTAAACCTTTATCAGCAGTTTTTAATATAACTTTTCTTTGTCTAGGACTAGCCCTTGCTAGAAACTTTAAAACAGCTGCGTGCTTAATCACTCTCTCTGACATTATAATACATATGATTTATTTTAAAAAATGTTGTAATATATATTTAATTATATCCCCCCCCCCCCTCTTATAAAAAAATATGATTATGAAAACAATAAGATATAATAATATAAAATAATTTAAAACAAAAAAAATTTATTTATAAGTTATTACAAGATAAGTTAATATAAATATATATATATATATATAATTTAAAAAAAAAAGATATAGTCTAAAAACTATGACAACTGCATGTATCGGGGCCATCTTCAGCATCACTTGACCATGGACATGTTTTATAATGTTTTCCATAAATATTAGTTTCGTTATTCAAGTTGCGATATTTGTCCAAATTTTGCTTATATTCAAGCAAATCTTGAATATTCTCCCTCTTTCTAAAATCGTGTAGTATTTCGTATCTTGTTGGAAATCTATTTAAAGATTTATCAACCTTATTAGCCATATTTTTTAAATATTCTAAGCGTTTTTGAACATTAATGTACTCATCGTCTACTTCAGCACTACTTGGTTTAATTTTCTTGTTTGTTTTACAATTCTTTTTAAACCTTTGTGTATTACAAAACACTGGGGACCATTTATCAAATATTTTGGTAAAATCAATATTCATTATTAAGCTAAGACTTTAACACGACTGGTTTTTTAGTTTATAAGCTGCTCTTTTTTATATTAAAATATTTCTAACAGGTTTAGACTTGTTTACAGATGGGGCATATAACTATACTGAATTAATACTATATTCAGTAAGTGAGTCATGTTTATTACCCTTCCTTGGAACATACACTATTGTAGGATATTCTCCGGGTAATATATTTGTTCTAATTCTAAGCGATTCAGGCGTGTTTTGTTTTAAATCCAACACTAGGTACCCATGCGGTCTACTTGTTGAATCATAATATGCTTCTTGAATAAATCTTGAATTTTCAGGGCACACTTGTCTTGCTAGATGTGAAATTTGCGCTTTATCTCTTGGGTTTTTAAAATAAATAATATAGTGGGCATTTAATGAAATATCTCTCTGGCCTTTTCCTTGATGAAAAAGATTTTGTGTTATGTAAAATACGCTTAAATTTCTATGATGACTCCCCTTTGTAAATATATCCACAATTGCACCACCCGCTTCTTTCATTAGATCATCTATTATAATTAAAGATGGATCGGACCCAGTAAAATCCCTCATGTTTGGTAGGCCTTGCGTATATTTAATATTTAATTTATTGTTATCATAACTAGGTTGCCATTCATCGTAATACCATATTATATTTTTAAATGTAACATTGCACATTTCTTTAATATTTTGTATAAAATTTAAAGTAAATACCGTCTTCCCGCAAGATGTGGGACCACTTACAAGGGCACAGAATGGGTGCTTAAATGATAAATCCATTTTAAAGTTTAACCTGTGAATGTTTTGAAAGGACTGAATAAAATTAAAATAAAATCTATATTTAAATAAAATTCAAGGTACGTATTTTATAATTAAACTTATTTACTAATTCTAAACAAAATTAAGTTTTGTAAAACTATTTGTCTACTAAAAAAAATGTTTATTAAGCCTGTTTTTTTTTTTTAAATTTAATTTAATGTAAGTGAGTATGACCATATTTTTTTTGTATATAAAGATGTTTTTAAATCATAAATTAAATTTAAATTAATTAAAAAAAGACTTTTTATTTTTAGTCATTAATTTTAATTGGTTTAGGTCATAATACGTTTTCGTCAAGGGCGTATCTGTAACGTTACAAGATGATACATAATAGGGGGAGTGATCTTATTATTTAAAAGGCATTTTAGATTTGACCATAAAATTTAATTATACCAGATTAGATTTCACCCTTAATGGCAATCCTAGAAAAATTACAAGATGTTTTTGTAATAAAATTAATGTTTCCCCTATATGGGTGTCTTTAGTTTTGGCTTAAAAGTAAATTGATACCTTAATTTTTAAAAATATGTAGAGTTATTTTTAGTCATTAATTTTAATTGGTCTAGGTCAGAATACGTTTTCGTTAAGTTACAAGATGATACATAATAGGGGAATGGTCTTATTATTTAAAAAGCATTTTAGATTAGGCCATAAAATTTAATTATACCAGATTAGATTTCACCCTTAATGGCAGACCTAGAAAAATTACAAGATGTTTTTGTAATAAAATTAATGTTTCCCTATATGGGTTTCTTTAGTTTCGGCTTAAAAGTAAATTGATACCTTAATTTTTAAAAATATGCAGAGTTATTTAGGCCTATTATTTCACACAGATACCCTCTCTATTTTCTAATATAGCCAATGGTTTTTTAGCATGTATCTGGAGGGGATGTTAGAATATTTTAGGGATATATAAATATCTGTTTTATAAAAAAACTTAGTTGAAAATTATTAGTGCGTATTCGATAAATATAAAGTTAAAAAAACAAAACGATGACCACTTCGCCAGCAAAGTTAAGTGTTTTATGCAGACGGAAGATCAACGCCAGGCATAGTATATTGTTTTTATACTTAAAAACTGAGCATCTTCCTGAGGCGCTCATTATGGACATAGTGACTTCGCGTATGGATGATGGCATACAGGCGTATCCAATATTAGACAGCCCACCTAGCAAAGAAGTTTTTATTAGTCAGAGTCAGAGCGGAATTTGGAGTCGTAAATGTTTAGAAGCTTTCTGGGGACGCAGAGATAATGTTGAGAGCATTATGAGCATTTTAAAGTTTTTTTTTAAAAACGATAGTGATTTTTATTTGACGGCGAGAAAATTCGTAACAAATTATGGAAACATATGCGCAGACTGTTACAACCTAAACACCAGATTCCTAAATTTTAAAAATTTTAGGTTCATAAAGTATGACGACAACGAGTCTTGTGTGCAAATAAATGAGTTGCCACATATTTTTTTAAATTCATCCAATTGGTGCACTTACTGTAGGAGTCGTTCATTATTTGTTATTTACCCTTTAAGATTATTTACAGAAGCACATGGTATTGTGCATTAATATAATTACCATTTAGTTTAATTAGGTTTAATAAGTAGGATTAATTATTTTGTTTATACTAGTCTAGGATATAAGTTAAAAAGTGTCGTGTAGTTTTATTTATAGTTAGTAGATAAGTTTTAATTATTTTGTTTATACTAATATAGGATATAGGTTTAAAGCATGTTTTAATAGATATTATAATTAAATAATAAAAAATATGAATATGTACCTATTTGTTTTTATTAAATATCCTTTAAATAAAATACCTACCCTCCATTTTAAAAATAACTTTTTATTTCAGTCTTCTTAAATGCCTAAACATTTTCTGGCTCACCCTGTATATAGGTAAATATAACAATAATTAAAATACTAAATAAAATACCTAGCTACATTTTAAATATAACTTTTTTATTTATTTTCTGGTACACCCTGTATATAGGTAATTGGAAAATTGATTAAAATACATGCAATTTAATAAGTATATAAATAAACAGGCTTATTACATAATAAATAAAAATTAATATTAATTACGCGTAATTAGGTAGTTTTTTCCCGCGGACATGTTTTTCTGCGCATGACCATATGTGACGTCAGCATACGACCAAAATGAGTCTACTGCGCATGCTCCATAAGTACCTCTAGTGTCATCTTTTCTACTGACGCTATAATGACGGTACTTTGAAATGATGCAGCATTGTAAGCGGGATGTATATATATATATATATATATATATATATATATATATATATAATTGCAGTTCAGAAGTGAAACATTTTGTGATGGTTTGAGCATGTTCATCACATATTGGGATTTTGAAAATTCTGCAACATTTTCTGGTTTTTCTTTGCTTTTTATTTTTGTTTCGGCAAATATAGCATGATCCCACTACTGGTTTAGGGCCTTTAGATTCTTGAGGTTTATTTTCCGTAGCAAATTATGACCCTGATGGTACCAGTGGATGCCCCATCATCGATTATAGTGAATTTTTTGTAGAAACTAAGTTTACAACATTTGGCATTTGCGAGCGTTTTTCAATATTACCCATTGCGAGGCTGCTTCCTAAATCTTGATAAAAAGTTCTTCGGCTATGTGATGACGACATAATTCCCTTTGGCCCTCCATGTCTTCAAACACTTTATAAAACCGAATCAATACTAAAATATTTCAATGCGTTGAATTTAAACCAAAATAAACAATTCCACAAAACGGCCTACGCAGAACAAAACAATTTTTTTATATAATTTTTTTTATTTCAAAGCTTTTAACTCTTTAGAGAAATATACTAACCAAAACACAAAACATTCCAAAAACTTGCTGTCGCAAAACAAAAACATGTTTTCTAGTATAAGGTACAATTGTACCTATCTGTGCGGTATCAGTATATTTATTCTCTATGCACATAAGGGTTAAAGTGCTAAGAACAACCATTTTACTCCTCTATTGTAAAAAATAAACTTTATTCTATCAGGGCTGTCACAAAACTGTCAAATGTCAATTTTAAGGTTAAATTATAACCCACAAATTAACCTTCAAATTGTCATTTGACAGCCCTGATAGAATAAGGTATATTTATTATAAAAGAGGAGTAAAATGGATGTCCTTAGCACTTAAAGGCCTTATTTGAGGCTTACAAGTGCCTCTGTAAGAAACACAACGTTTAAAACAAACCCAAAGCACAAGAATTATAAACAACAAAAATGGCCGCCGTTAAACTCTGTGCAGTGTTGCAGTGATTTTTAATATTTTTAGCATGAGATAGAACAGACCTTGTTGTGTGGATTGTGCCTACAAGTACAAAAATTTAATTTTGACAAGTCATTTTCTAATAGTACATTGTGTATCAAGGGCGGAAAGAAAGCGATTTTGACAAGTGTGAAGTTTGCCGCACGAGCATAAAATGCGAGTGCGGCAATCACACGAGTCAAAATCACGTTTCCGCCCGTGGTACACTGTGTACCGTACACATACTATTTTGTGTCAAAACTGCCCTGAAATTTTCAAGTTGAAAAGGCTTTTACAAAATAAAAAAATCATTTAAAAAATAAAAATTCGATAGGCAGCTAATTTTACTACGGTGAGTTTGACAGTAACTGTTGTTCAATAATTATTATAAAAATGACTGAACTGAAAAATAATTTGGAAAATATTGTTAGTGATAATAACAATTATGATATATCTTGTACGCCCCCGGAATTAAGAGAACTATAGTTCACTATAGCGAAAGGTGTACATGATTCATTATTGCCCGCAAAATCAAAAGGAAAATACGAAGCGGCGTACTTAACCTATAGTGAATGGACAAAATCTAAGAACGTGAAAGTGACATCGGAAAATGTTCTTATCGTTTATTTTCAGGAATTGTCACAAAAGTGGAAAGCATCTACGATTTGGGCAACTTTCTCAATGCTCAAATCTACCATTAGTATAAAAGAAAACATTCAGATTGAAAATTATAAAAAATTGGTTGCTTATTTGAAAAGAGTATCGGAGGGCTACAAAGCGAAAAAGTCAAATATTTTGCAAGCAGAAGAAGTCGAAAAATTCCTAAATGAGGCTCCTAATTATAAATACTTAGCTACTAAGATAATAATAACATTTTAACATAAATAGCATAAATACCAAAAACTATCTTATCATGCAGGTTGATTGGTTTGGTTAGGTAAACACAAATGGTCTTTGTCGCCCTGGGGCGGAAATATTATTGCCCGACTCCGCCCACCGGGCACAATCTGACTCTTGGCGCCCGCCTTACATGCATGTAAAGCCTTATTTCAGGGTAGGTTTGACACAAAATTAATTTTAGTTCAAAATCCATTTTCTAAATTATGATTATTATATTTTATAAATAGAATCAGAGTTCTAACTAATCTAACCTGACTCCATACTTTTAATAATTATTATAATTTTTCGTTTTACCTATATATTGTTTATAAAATATAATTATGCCTTAAAGATAAAATGTTGTACATATACCGTGCGGCTGAAAAGTGTCTTTTATGCTTTACTTAATTGTAGGCCTCCGCTACGCGTCGGCATTCAAACGTTGTGCTGAGTCAGCACTGCTGACATAAATAATGTGAATGTGAATGTGAATTATGACGTTAATATATTATTAATATTGTTAATATCGTGTGGTCGATATCAAATTATAAGGAAAGGGTTTATGTTGATTTAGTGTTGGTAGATGAAGTGGTTGTATTTGTGTTGTTTTGGACTGTCGTCATCTTGATTTTTTGTTGATTTCACTACGTTTCGACTGGTGATCTCCAATCGTCTTTAGGTGATAATGGTTTAAATATTTTTGAAACCTCTGTTTTTATCTTGTAGCTGCTTGTTACTGTTCACTGAGCAGAAGTTGTTTAGTCTTCCGTAACATGGGCTTCCACACGGGTTTAATCTCCAGGCTGGGGTTGCTGAAAATGTGGTTGTTTTGGCTAATATATGCAGCTTCCAGAAATTGTCTTTTTAACCAGTGTGGTTCTGTGTTTAAAACTTTCGCGTCTTCCCAAAATATGTTGTGGTGTTCCTTCCAGGCATGTTCCGCCAATCCGGATTTTGTTGCTTCTCCTTTTGTTGTGTGTGTTCTGTGTTCTTTTACGTTTAGTGGCCTCTTGGTTTCTCCTATGTATGCTTTTCCGCAAGTACATGGGACATGATAAATCACATTTTTGGTCTGGTTTTGTGGTGGTTTTATTTTTGAGAGATTGCTTCTCAGTGTATTTCGTGAAGAAAATACCGTCCTTACCAT